TTTTTCTTTTATTTTTTTTATTGTAGTCTATATGTCGTCTGTCTAAATCAGGTCTCTCTCGTAAATGAGTCCTCGTGACTCAATGAGACGAACCTGTAAAAATAAAGTTTAAACTAAAAAAAAAAAAAGTATTTGTTGCTTCAACTTCTGGTTTTTGGTCCAATCTCTAGTGGTGACACATCTGAGAGGTTCAGAGTTTATATGAAGAAAAAATATTAATGTGTGTTGAGCTGTATTAAGATGAGTTTAGACATTTGTGCTTGTGCACAAAAGTTAAGGTTATTATTAAAAAATATTTACAAAAAAAACTTGATTTGCTATTTTTTCAAGCATTAAGTAATAAATTAAAAGAGTTGGAAGTTTTGAACGTATAAGTTTGTGTAAAACCGAAACCGTTCCCTGCTCCAACCAGTTTCTAACACTCACCTGTGAGCAGTTTGTTGGCAACCACTAAAGTTTGATTCAACTTGTATGAGGCCTCTTCAGACGTGTGCACGAGGCAGCGCTGCGCATGACAAACTGCTCCAATTTCAGGCGTGTCGCCCGGCTGATATGTTGGAGCTGTTTTTTTAGCTTCCCCTCAGATTTGAATCTGCAGGAGGGCCTCGGTCCGTTGGTCCCGTGACAGCGCAGGAATGATCACCGTACAGCCTCGCCTCCCGTTATATTAGGCCTCTTATCGGCTGCTGGGGGGTAGTTGATCAACTAAGGTCACTGTATCCTGACCACAGCACAACAGCTACACCGTTATTTGGAGATATGATAAATAAAAGCTGCAGCAACACTCTTATCAGCTTCTGGTGCTTTTTGTTCCACTGCCTTCGTCTGAGCTGCTGTCCGAGGAGGAAATTAGGGCGAGAGCGAACACACAAGGCCGCGAGCGTCCCGTGATTAACCCGAGAGCTAAAATAATAAATTCCTCAGCACGAATTTGATGCTTTAAGCAGAAAAGGTGCGCCTTTAGCCAACGTGCAGGGGGACTCGTGCACTTCCCAGCCCTGCGAGATAACGTGCGCGGTTGTTGTAAACGCAGCCACATTATTCTAACAAGGAGGCCGCGGACAGCAGCGCTGCCGAGATAATGGATGCACCTACATTACCCCGAAGTGGCGGGAAACGGAGGGGTTAGGAGGGCGAGCGGGAAAGATGCGCCTGCATTATTATAAGGCCAGATTGATAGTGACGGGGGTCGAGGCGGGGGGTGTAAAAATAAACACATCTACATTATTCTGGAGTCATGCGAGAGCGAGAGGTGAGCAGGAAAAACAGATGCAGAGGCATTACTCTTTAGTCAAAGTGAAATTTTTAGAGGTGGAGGTGAAGCTGGAAAACTGTACGCTCCATTATTCTTGAGCTTAGAGACCGGGGGGTGGGGGTGGGGGGGTGTTTAGATGCAGGTTCTCCTCCTTTCCTCTCAGCTGGGAGGCCTCTGGAGGAGGCGACGGATAAAAAACACTGTCGTTTCTTCACGAAACAAAAGATTTATTACATTAGTATTTATAGTTGATCAGAGTATTATTACTGATATTTTTATTTTGTGGGACACTTGAGTTCTGGTTTAAATCGCAAAATAAAACTTAACCGAGGTTTGTGCTGAACTGCACGACGAGGTGCAGCTTGAACGACGTTGCAGCAGATTTGTAGATCTTTTAATACACGGTGGTGAAATGTGGGTCTGCGGTCAACGTAAACAAAGAACTCTGCTGAATCCAGGTGGAAGCTCGAGTCATCCAGATGGAAAAGAGATGAGGCAGAGAGATGAGAAATATGGAAAACGAGAGGAAACGCCAATAAATAAACAAATAAAAGAGACACCACAGCACAGACGCAAATTCAAAAATGGTCAGATGGATGAAACGTCTCAACAACAAAAAAGCATCCAGACGACCTGACTGAACATTGTTGGATTTTCTACCTGGATTATTGAGCGTGAACTTTGGGGTCAGATGGAAAGTTTGACCTTTATTTCTGATTTATCAAAGTGAAGTCAGGTCCTCTGGATAGATAAAAAAAAAAACATTTAAGACTTGTTGAAACGTTTCATCTTTTATCCAAAGGACTTCTTCAGTCTGAGGAGCTGCAACAAACTCAGTCTTATAAATAGCACCTTCTCAGAGTGGATCAACCAGTTTGTTGTCGACATCCAGAACCAGCTGTTCGCCTGATGGAGGACCATCAGCCTGAGGAACGATCGTTCGTGACCTGGCTTAACTTTATTAGATTCTTCTACCTGGATTATTTAGCAGCATCAGGATATTTACTTCTGATTAATTTGATGTAATTTAGCCAAACTAAAGGTCCCGTAGAAGAAAGACTTGTTAAATTAAAGGTACTCCGTCTTTTTAAAGCCTAAATGGGTCCAAGATGCAGCTCATAAGAATTAAAGATGGTGTCAGTAGAAAGGACCAGGACAGTGGTGAGATACATTCTTTATTCTGATTAAAGTTTTCAATCTTCTGCTCTGCTGAGCTCCAAGAACGTCACATCAAAACCATAAAGGCTGAACAGAAACATCTCAAATCCAGCACTTTATCAGCCTTAAAACATAAAATAAAGTCATCCAAAACGTTCAACCATTGCACATTAACCGTTTGCAAACGATGTGGAAAACTGGATTTAAAAATGTAGAAATCAAAAAAGTTCTGGCAGAAAAAGCTGCAAACTAAATAACAAAACTACAAGTTTAAAAATATGTTAATCAAATTACAGATGAAGAGAGTCTGGTTTGTTTCAGACTTTTTGAAATGTGCTTTAATTCAACAAAAAAATAAAATCAAGAATTCTGCAGGATTTAAAACAGCAGCTTTCACATTGATCAACAAAACAAAATAAAATAAATCACATTTTGATGCAGATTTAAGGACGGACACTTGGCTCTGTTACCTGACAGACTCTCACCTTCATCCCACCTGAAAACTACACAACCTCCGATTCACTTTGGTCTCGGAAAAACTCCAATCACTGCTTCACTTCCTGTTATATAACTTCACTTCCTGTTAAATAACTTCACTTCCTGTTAAAGAAAATAAACTTGTAAACATCAAAGTGTCCGGTGGGTCTTTTTAACCATGACGTTCAGACCAGTCAACAGAACCAGAACAAGAGATTCTTCTACAGGAACAGTTGCCTTCACTTTCGATCATTTGGCAACAAAAACACAAGCTCTTATTGTGAAAGGTCAGACAGGGGGTGAGAACTGAACAAATAAGCTTTTAATGAAATAAAAAGACTAAAACATGGCGTCAGTCGTTCTTCATCACCAACTTCAAATCAGTTTGTTTTGAGTTTCAAAACAAAAAAAAAAGATCTTCAGATGTTTTGTTTTGAAGGTTTAAACAAAACAAACAAAACATTTATTCCAGAAATAAACAAATATAAACAATAAATCAGGAGTGTAAAAAAACTCCGTTCAGTTTTCGGGCAGAAAACAGAAAAACGATGTTAAAGTTGAGCAGAACTCACTGAAGAGAGAAATAATTCATGTTTTTATTCTCCTGCTGCTGAGGCTCATGGGTAATGTAGTTTTTAGGAACGTGTATAGAGGATCTTTGTGGGCAAGATGAGAAGGGAAAACGAAATGCAAGTTTGGAGTGGTAAATATTTGAAAGTTAATTAAATAACATTTTAAGAAGAACATGAAGTTCCTCAGTTTACTGAGACGTTCAGGGAAGTTTACTGACGAATGTATAAAATATTTAATTTATATTTTTATTGGTTTCAAATCAGAAGAAACCCTCTAAACTCTTGGTCATTTTCAGTTTTACTTTAGTTTTGTGCAGGAAACTTCACATCATTTCAGGGTAAAGAGTTGGAATCCAGTTTGTAAGAAATGTTTATTATTCAGGTACTAAAATTATTTCCTTAACTTGTACATTCCCCAGTGAAATAGATTTGTTTCATCAAACTGTTTCTGCAGTCTTGAATGGTCCTAAATGTAATTATTTTATTTTAGGCTTCAAGAAGTCTTAAAAATGTCCAGATTTTCCCAATTTTCAACTTTTAAAAAACATTTAGTCTTAATTCCACTTCTTGCATCAGTTTTTTGCGCTGCTGGTCTTTATTCGTTCTGCATTTGTAGACGTGGAACAAAACTTGAGCTCCATCATGTTTCCGGCCTGTCACCAGGAATTTATTCAGACATTTAGCTTTAATTACAAAAAAACTCTCGTTTCTCTGCACCTGAAACTGGTTCGTTGTAGTTTTTATGGTTAGGATTGAATTTGAATAAATGATTCATTTTGAAAGAACATTTTCAATAATTGTATTTTTCATGTCGTTCTGGACTTTTACTCTTTAAAAAGGGCCTAAAAAAACATTTTAGATTCAATCAAAAGTTGCACAATTCCCAATTAAAGAACATTATTTTTTTATATAGTTGTGTAGTTTGTAAATTTGAGCCTCATCCCCAGAGAAACATTTTTCAAAAATCATCTTTTTTATACGTTCTCACCAGCAACATCCTTGAAGACACGGCACCGTTTTTAGAAAAGTTTTCTTCTACATGAAAACGCAGAAACTCTTCCAGGCCTGTAGGCGGCGCTGTGACACGCCCACACCGAAAACAGGAAACACGTCACTTAAATCAAACACACGAAGAAGAGGAAGAGGACGCTCTCGGGTCATTGGTGAGGTCGGAGGTGGAGCTACGGCATCATTTTCAAAAAGTTGTGTTTTGGCCATCCACACAGAAACGAGGGTGTTTTGAAACTTTTTGACTCTGGAGGCGGTTTTCAAAAACGACTTATCAGAATTAAAACTTTGTTTCTATGTGGACTCAAAGCTGAAACAACAAAACGGTTTCGTCCTCCTACAGCTCACTTTTTAACTTCGTTTTGGACGAGCAGGAAACGTGAAACCTCGTAAATTAATCCAAAACTGAACGGTTCTCCTCTTGGAGCTGCTAGTTTAGCATAAAAACAGGAAGTTTTCATGCTTCAGTCATGAATTCATGCAATAAAAAGTTAGATTACAACAAAAACACTTCAAATTGTGTGAATTCTCAGAATCCTTCGGAGTCGGCTTGTTGGGTTTATTTTTAAAAACGGTTTTATTTCCCCACTTTTAACGACAAGAACTCTCCCAGGAGCCATTTCTTTCCCCTGAACTTTGACAAGTTTAGGAATTATCCCTAAATACTAAAGTTCAAATAGTTGGTTCTGTACGTTTGTTGGAATAAACTGATCAAACTCTCAGCAGCGCTTCAAGTCGTCACCGACCTCAGATTTGTGATTTATTTATTTCATCGGACTTTACGAACGTTTTTCCGGTCGTTTGGAAGCTGAGCAGAGTTCAGCTGCGACACTAAACAAAAATCATCAACTTTGTTTTAAACCTGCAGAGAAACATGGAGCTGATTTTCTGTCGCACTCCGTTGAGTCGTGCTGATCTGGTTCCGGAGCAGGGAGAGGGGAGGTGCATCGTGGGTAATGTAGTCTGATGGGGGCTGTCTGTTTACGAGATGGCCTTGGCTTCAGGTAAGAAGGCGTCCCAGTATTTAATGAGCTGCAGGACGAGAGCAAACAGGTTCTGGATCAGTTTCAAACTCCACATAAAAAGCAATCAAATCGTTTGAAAATGTTCTTCACCGCTGCTTTTCAATAATTTCATATTTTCAGGTATAAATCCGAGGCTGATGTTTAATCGAACCGTTTGCAGCTTTAATTTTTAATCCAGGAAACGAAGACTTTACCTGCTGCTGCGTTTGAACCAGGGACTCCAGGTATTTAATGATGATGCTTTTAAAATCCTTCACTCTCTCTTTCTGTTGGAGAAACAACCTTCAGTGAATTATTTGACTCAACGGTTAAATCACCAAACTGCGTTTCGACGTTCCGACCTCGAAGCGGCCGACTTCTTTCCGGATGGTTTTGGAGATTTGCTCAAAGTCTCTTTCGCCCTGTTGGACTTTTCCCTCCAGCTACAAAACATGAAGACAAGATGAAAATATTCTCGTTTTGTGTTCAGTCGGACTTTAAATAACTAAAACCCACTCACACCGTTAAACGGAACAATTAATAAATGGTTTAGTTTGGTAAAAATCCAAGTTTGGATTTGTTCTGGCGGACAAACAAAAACGGAGTTGGTTTAAAATTTAGGAAATTTATTCACTGAAGACAAATCTAAAATACATTTCCAACTTTGAAACATTTAATTTGGTCTTTACGGAACATGGGACTAAAAATGAAACACGTACCAATAAATTACCGAACCATCCGGGGATTATTGTTTCAATTATAATTTTAAGTAGCAAGACTTACTTCCTGGACAACCTTTCACAATAAGAGTCCCAAACACTGAGTGTCGACCTTAAAAAACTGAACATGTGAAAATAGCTCATATTATTGTTCTTCAGTAAAACAGATCCTGCAGGAAAACAGTTGGGAAAACCGTCAACTTCCTGGTCTTTGGAAACCAGGTCTCAGACCAACTCAGAAAAATGACCTGATTCATGTTACCAACGAAACGAAGGCCTGAGATCATCGCCTTAATGTCAAAATAATTACCGAGAAGATAATGAATCTAAACACGTTTTCATTGGCTTTGCTTTTCAGACCTGGAGGTCACCGCTAGAATTTATCATTTTATGGGAAAATGTTTTCATTTATTTTCCCAAGCGAGCGTTCGTGTCGAACATGTACAGGTGAACATCTGGAATATGTTTACATTTTAACTTGTTTCTCCTACAGTTATTAAAAACAAACAAACAAAAAAAACTTACAACTATATTTTACCACAGAGAAACGCTTTCTGGTTTTCAAAAGTTAAAACATAATAAATGACGATTTTATGTTTTCCCCATACAAACATCAGTTATTTATCAATTAACCAGATTTGCGTTTGTTAGATAATAGCAAGGTATTAAATTATTAACTTTTACTAAACGCTTAACAAAATGAGTCGGGTTAAGACAATGAAAGAATTTATTTAAAATCAATCTTCAATCATTTTCATAGATCAATGATTCCAAACCGGTTTTGATGCGCTTCATTAAATAAACGGAGTAATTGTCACGTTAAAACGATCAGTTACAAAAAAAACGATAAGTAGACTTTGAAGGTATTGGTGTTGGTTGATCGCTGCTAATGACGGTTTAATAAAATTAACTGTTTTGTTTATATACTTGGACTTATTTGAAGATTTTGTGCCAACAAGTAAATAAATATAAAACACTGAATAAACGATTGATTCTGTGTTGTTGGACCTGAAGACTGGCATCCCGGTTTGTATTAACTAATCTTAAAACAGGTTTTAAATAAACAAAAAAATAAACAAAGACTTCGCATGTTTCCTAATAGTTATAAACCTGCAAAGGAAAAACAAACGTCTAGTCAGGATTAAAAGCACTACGGGTGAAAGTCGTCACATGAACAAGTTTGTGATTAAATTCTCCATAAAATCAGACTTTTGAATAATATGATCTTATTAAAATGTTCCTAAAGTTGTTAAGCTTTTCTTTTTTAACTGCTCATTTAATCACTTCCTGGAACATGACCCCGCCCTCTGAGGCATGTAGCAACTTTTAGCCAATGAGAAACTCTGAATTCTGAACAGAGCGGACTCCGATTGGTCGGTGTCTGATCAGACCACTGGAGCCGACCAATCAGAGCAGAGATAGACGTTCGAGGCGGGGCAGCATCCTTGACGTTTGTTTTAACAATAAACAAACAACTTTTAACTGAGTAAATAAAACACAAGCGTCTGCTTCATGAAGTTTAAATGTTTAAACTTGTGTTAAAACAGAATTTTATCAAAGTTCAGGAGTTTGTCAGTTTTGCTCATAAACCAATTCATGTGACGGGGGATGGTCGCTCACTCAAAATCCAAACCAAAAGATGACTAGCCTGAGCTAAATAATACTAAACAATGAGGCAAAGAAAGAGGCGCAGGCAGACAGACAGGACATGGACAGACAGACAGGCGGGGACGGTCCTACCTCGGAAATCTCCTGGATCGGACGGCATGGCAGCAAGGGAAATGCAACAAAATGTAAGAGGCTGGGAAATAAAACTCGGAGCTTCCAGAACCAAAGACCCAGAAACATGAGAGCAAAGAGAGCGAGGAGAAACAAAAAGCTCGGAAATAAAAACTAACCCGCGTCGTAAAGAACAGGCCGCCGGACGAGCCGCGCCAAAAACGCCAAAATCGAATTATGTTTTTATTTGTTGGTTACTTCAACATAGAGTTCCATGTAAAGTTGTTAATGCGATAAAGAAATAAAGTGAGTAATTTAACTTGTCCTGTCTGCTTAAAAACAAGTTTCAGGTGAAACGTCTCATCAGAACGACGAACTTTAAATGTTTCCTAAAACAAATGAAAACGACCATTTCTCTTTGGTTCCGTTGTATTTTAGACAAAGTTTTTTAAACAGCATAAAACAACTTGGAAAAAGTTTAGATTTTCACCTAAACTCTACAATTATTAGAAAATCACAAGTTTCTGTGATAAAACAAAAAGTTTTCTGCTCAAGTAATTCCGTTAACTGTAACAAAATGTGCACTTTCTTCCATGTTTGTCAGTTTGGTTCTCAGTGTAGAAACAGCATTAATTCATTTTAAGGCTTATTTTGTGCGTTTTGTTTTCTGTTTTGATCTTAAAAAAAGGTTATTTTTTTAAAGCGTTAAAAAGAGAAAATGAATGCGATGCTTTTTAACTGAATGTGGAAAGTGAAGCAGAACCAGATGTTTGGGCGTGATTTTGGTGTTTTATTCTAGTTTTCCAGCTGTTTTGACTCCTGGGTGTAGTTCCTGTTTGGGCCCACAGGGGGCAGCACAGAAACACACTCATGGTTTTAATGTTTACATTTATTTTAATGGTCACCTGCAAAAGTACTTTTAATAACTAACATTTAATTTCTTTTGATTTTTTTTTTTAAATGAACATATATCCTTTTTATGTCTCCTAAATTCCAGAATCTAAACATTGATTTTAAATTAAAAACTGAACAAAACGTGCATCTAAAATGCGTTGTCACCAACAAGAACAAGACGGTATCATAAAAAAGTGATGTCCAGCATCGTCACTCAGCATCGAAGGGTCTAAAGGTGGACCTCCGTCCTGCAGGCCGGGCCTGTTCTTCAGAGAAGGTTCGTTTCCTCCTCGTGTTGCTGCAGATCCAGCTCAGATCTCTGCAGCAACAAGTAAAAGTCAGAAAAAGCTGCTGTCAAAGAAAAGAACCAAAACTGGACTCCTGACAGGCGCAGAAACCCTCGTCGGCTCCAAATAAACGCTGGTTGTAACTCTACTGCGATCTGTCCACGCCTGCAGCTTCTGACAGCGCCCCCCCGTCTGACAGCAGCTCAGACCCCCGACCTCGCAGAGATCCTGACAGATGAATTTGGGCCGTGACAGCTCCAGCAGAAGCTCTAATAAAGAGTTTTTTTTTTCAGCTCGGCTGTTTGTCGTTCGGCTGGAAGAAGTTTTCAGTGGAGCGAGCCGAAGGTTGAGTTTATTCAGCCGAGCGAGGAGCGTCTGCTGCGGAGTCCTGAAGCACGACGTGAGAAACCAGCTCCATCACGGACGGACGTGAGCAGGGAATGATTTCCCCCCAGCTGCCCGGTCCTTTCTAAAAAATAAAACACGCCTCAAATCCTAAAGAAGCGCAGAAAGCAGCGCGGCTGGAGCCAATTTTAAACAAGTTAAAACCTTTAAATAATCAGCTTTAAAGAATAAAATACATTTTTATTGGAGCTGCGCAATTAAATACATTTTGTAGTTTGGATGTTGTTTTAATTAAAGGGTCTTCGTGTCGTCTGAACTAATTTAGTATTTGTATTTATTAATACTATTTAGTATTTTTCTGAATTTTGTTGAAAAACGATCAAAAACCTTGAAGTTTTGAATCTTTTCTTGTTTTATTTAAAAATGTATCCGTCCACTGCACGGTAAGCTGCTTTAAACGTGGAATTTAGAAAAACTAAAACTTCGATAAAAAAAAAAAAAAAAAAACAGATTTTGTTTTGGAATCTGTGGTTTTATTTGTTACATTTGAATAAATATGTTAATTTAAGAGAAAGTTCCTTTTCCATCATCATGATGACATCATTGCTATGATTATTATTATTTCCATATCAAGCAGCCGTACGGCCTCTTAAAGACTTTTACAACCTTCAGCTATAAATAATAAAACATTTGCATCTTAGCTTTAAACGAATCAACTCTAAATTCAAGGCGAGTGTGACGTTTGTAAATTAATTTGAAGGTTTAGTTCCAGGCCACGTATTAACGGAGTTTTATTCTGAAAGAGACTCGGGTCAAACCATCAGGACCCGTTCCACCAGCCGGTCCACCGGACCCACAGAACCGATACAGCTCAGCTTCTGGCAGAGCTGCCGTCTGGTTCAGAACGATGAACCTGCGCGGCGGCGGCGGCGCCGGCGCCGGCCGGCCCGATCGGGTCGACTCACCTCTCTGATCTCGTCTTTGGCCTGCTGCAGCTTGTCCGGCTTGTTGGTGAGCTGAAGTTTGGCTTCGGCTTCTCTTTTCTTCTGCAGCAACATCTGAGTGTCCTGCCACTTCTGCCACGTCTTCATCCTGTGGTCAAACACGCCCTGCACACACACACACACAGTTTTAAAACTAATAGAAGACGCTAACAGAATGCGTATCACGGTCGCGTTCCGAGCTTTGGGACAAAGACCTCAGGACGTGTCGGCCCTCAGACGGTGAGCTGGGAACCACCCTCAGCTACTACCACAAACTTCAGCTCAATATTTATCAAACCGACTTGAGTTTAACTCGTTTTATTCTCATCTAACTTTGAACATTCGATGATCTGAGAGTCATCTTCATCAATCTGCTGGTTCATGAGATATTTTACTGACAGACAGACTACCACGTCCCTACCTGAACGTTGGACAGTTTTAAAAACATTTATTCTCAGTAGATCAAAGGAAACAGATCAAATGTTGAAACCATGCTGAGCCTCGGCCCATCTTTACTTCTAAAAGTTTACTTTTATACGCAGACGTCTGACTTGTTGATCGTTAATTTATTTCATTACAAAATGTTCCTCCAGTTGGTTCTGATCGGTACCGCTCACGTTTTGTTGCTCCTGGGCTTCAAACAGACGAGTTGCCAATAATAAATAATATTAATGAATTCTTCATTACCTGGTTTTCTCCTAAAAATTGAATAGTTTCTTAGTTTAAACATTTTATTTGTTTCCTGTCGTCCATTCAGAATGTTTGCAGGTGATTCAGGAGAAAAGTTGTGTTTGTTTTGGACCAACTTCCTGTTCCAGGTGTGTTTTCGTGGCGGCGTTCGCACCTTGACGGCGGTGATGAGCCGGACGTAGTCTCCCAGTAGCTCAGAGAAGAGGTAGAAGTCGGCGTTGGCCTGGTCCTGGTGCAACTGGTCGATCTTCTCCTCCACCTCGGCCAGCTGGGACAGAGCTCGGGACAGAGCCGTGTGGTCCTCGCTGTTCCCCAACATGGCCGCCGACTTGGCGAACTGAGCCGTGTTCACCGACAGCTCTGAGGACGAGATCAAAACAAATCAGAGTCAAAATGACCATAAAACAGGAAAAAACAGTTATTTTACTATAGATGTTAAATAAAGATGGCTTCAAATAAAGTTTAGTCGTTTTGGCTTCAAGTGTGGTTTCATGAGAACAACTTTTATTTTGAAATTTTCACTTTTTACTGATCTACAGGAAGCAGCCAAAAATAAACAGCCTGAAAATAAAAATGAGTTACAGCAAAAAGTTTGAACAAATCTGAAAGTCTTAAAAGGCGCAAGAAGTGTATGATGCTTTTATTTTGTTAACAGGAAGTGGACATTACCTTTCCTGTGACAGACCAGAGACTCCACGCTGGCGTGAAGTTTCCTCAGTTGAACGTCAAGATTCTCAAAGTGCTGCTGCTTCTCCTCGAACCACTGAAACACAGACAGGAAGTCAGCCACAGAGACGGGAAGTCAGCCACAGAGACAGGAAGTCAGCCACGCAGGCCACAGAGACAGGAAGTCAGCCACGCAGGCAGGAAGTCAGCCACAG